TTATCTGAAAATATGTAAAATTTGATCGAATGTTAAAGTAAAACTTATTTTGCTATTTTAAATATAATTATTTATTGATTTTTACGATATATAAAAGGAGAATAAGATTTGTGAATAAAAATAATCATCATTATTCTCACCATATATAATTTTATGTGTAAATATGGTTATTTAAATCCATTTATTGGGAATCTAATTTGATTTAGGGTATATTAGTAAATTTTCGGATTTTTATATTTTTTTTAAGAAATACCATGATACATATTAAATTTTTAATTATACTGTATTATCATTTATAATAAAGAAAGGATAGAAAAACACCTAATCAACACCACAAAATTAACTGATCCCGTTACAACTTCGTCGCTTACAGCCTCAATCCCAATTATAAGTTTGCCATCAACTATTCTTTTTAAGCCAACTAAACACCCTTTGCCAGCCATACATATACTCAAATTAGACCCATGGTTTTGCGAAAATAATGAAACTACTCCCGAATGCGAACCTTGTGAAACTGTAGCTTTTTGCGAGCCTTCTACCATAGATGTAATATGTACTCCGTATCCTTGCAGAGGCCTTTGTGGTGCTTTCTACAGGTCTATCCAAACTAATCAGCCTTTAAGTTGCATTCCTTAATTAATAATATATAAGCTGTAATTATTATGAAATATTAATGTATTTTGACAATTTTTTTTTATAATGTGTAATATATTTATAGTGTGTTTAACAATAAATATTTTTTTATTTTAGAATGCGATAACATACATTTCGATTTAAAATAATAGACAAATGGTTCATATATTAGATTTTAATAGATACAAATACAATGATCATAAGATCAATTCAACAAGATACAATAATAACATTCATTTAAAGTTCAACAATATAATATAACCATATAAACATCATTCTCAATCTTAATCGAATAACATTATACGCTTGGAATAAAAGAAAAGAATGGCGGAAAAAGGAATAAAATTCATATCATCAATTACATTTTGATTTGGGTTTTCTCCCTAGATAAGTAATTTGTCATTATAGTAACCAAATAATTTAATACTGCCAAATGTTGGTTGTGTAAAATATCAAACAAACGAAAGGGAAAGGTGGGGGGGGGGGGGTAGATCTTTCAATATTGATATCTGTAAAAATGTATTAGTAATTATTATTTCCTGTAATGATTTCAATCAAATATACAGGATATGAATTATAATAAATTGTATTTCATCAAACATAAAATTATTATGATAAATTATCTAAATAAATATAATTTTTGCCAAAACTCCAATACTTATATGTAACCTATCAAAGGATGGTTCTATGGGGAAATAAAACAATAAATTGGTTAAGAGGCTGATCAAATGTTCTTACGAAAAAGAGGGGGTTCATCTCTAACCCCCCTCCCCTCCCCTCCCCTCCTCCTTTTGATTCATTTTGCAAAAGATTAACTAATTGTCAGTTGCCTCTAGAACATGGACCATGTGTAAGCCTTGTAAATAGATGGTATTCGGAAGCTAAAAAATGTAAAATTTTTATTTATGGTGGATATGAAAGAAATTCTAACAATTTTAAGAGCAAGAAAAGTTGTACAAAAAAATATAAGCCTTAATAATACCAACGATTATTGATTCCGAAACAAATAGAAGTCCAAAGTCAATATTATATATTATAAACATAAATATACTTACTTAATATCCATTTAAACTTATAAAATGATACTTATAAAAAATAAATATTTGAAAATTACAATGATGCATCCTATTGAATGATTTGTAATTGTAATTCATAATGTATTCACTTGGTCTGAATTGAATCAATATTAAACTTTAAAATATTCAAGTTTTTCGGACTTGGCAAAATATTAAACAATAAAAAAGAAGGGTTCTCATTTATGTTCAATAATTTTATTAATATATACTTTTTTATTAATTAAAAACTACAAAAAGTTTAGAAAATTGTCTAATTCTTATAAGGAAGTTAATCTACACTCTCTGAAATGCATTTCCGGTCAAATCAGACTAAAATTTTAAATATTTTCTTCAGTAAATTATATAAAATTCAAAAATTCTGTTCTCCAGGGATTTCATATCCCTGACATATATATACTAACATTTTATCTAAAACAAAAATATCTATATTTGTTTACAAAGTTTTTTTTTAGGTTTCGAAAAATAAAATTGCTATTTGATCTTGAAAATTTTTTAATGAAAATTGCAAAATAAGATTTTATCAAAAATTATTTGGTATTCCTAGGCAAAATTTGATCTGTTTCTTCATCAATAAATTTTTTCAAACTCTGCTAAACCAGAAAGGGTATGTTCACCCCACGTCTATTGAATTTAAGAAAATATATAAAATATGGCGAAATTTAATCATAATTCAAGTCTAAAGAATATTTTCAAAATAATATATTTGAAATTGCATGCTCTAGTGTGGTTTTAAAGAGAAGAGAAGAGAACGGCGGATCCAATATTTTAGCTAAAAATATTATCCAAACCTAGAGATTTCGCTCATAGATGGTAAACCGGTTTAATTTATTAACGAAATCTCCAGACTTGCTTAATATTTTTTGGCTATAATTGGGCTGACCGTTTTTAAAAATCGAGACGTTTAACAACACTAACAACATCTCTTATATTGTGGCAGAAACTGGTTGATAACAATAAGATTCAAATGAGTTTGTTGCTAGATACTGTTTTTGCATAGGTATATTATTTTTGTTTTGACAGTTTGCAATTTAATCTTTGGCATCATTTTTATATATAGAAAGTAATGCTATAGAGTAAGGTCGATGAAAGAAACGTCGTCGACTAATATCGTTACATTTTTCGAGGTAAAAGAACGCCATGCATTACTTGTTGTAAAACATAACGAGTGAAGTGTAAAACGTTTCTTATTTTTAAGTAATGTTACAAAACGCTATTCGTTACCTTAAAAAAAATGGAAAATATATTTTTTTATTATTTTTAAATTTTATAAATAATTTAAGCCGAGTTTTTAATTCAATTATATTTTATTTATTACTCATTTTGTTGTTGAATTTTATGCAGTAAAGATTATTAATCTAATTACCATTGAATCAATCAGGTGTGTTAAATTTATATTCTCTAGCAATATAATTTATTTTATAAAGTAAATATCTCAATAGTACTCATTTCTTCAGGTGACGATGATTTAACTTTTCCCTGGCTATATCTAAGTGTAGAGTGGGTTGTATTTAAAATTGTTTAAACATGTCCAACAGCCCAAATCTAAAATAAACATATGATCATAAAAATATGCCTAGTGTTCAAACTAGTGATCTTCATTGGGTATGAATTTTCAAGCCCGGCCCTGTGTAGTATTGTAAAAACAATACCATCAAATTCAATACGGTATTGATTCTACAATGTAGTATTGTAAAAACAATACCATCTAAATTCAATATAAATTTTCTTAATTTTTTTTATTTGTACTGAAAAGCTCGACCTTAAATAAAAATTATTTTTCCGCCTAAGCCTCTTGCAAGAATTTTAAAATATATTTATTTATTTGACAAAATAAAATGATATATTTAAACCCGATAAAATTAGGCCCGACCCAGCCTGAGCGAAATTATTTCAAAAATAGGCGTTTCAAGTTGGACCGAGATATGCATATTACTAATTTAAGCTCTTATCTCATTTGCTGATCCATAATTATTTGAATTATGGAGATTTTTCATCAAGACGCAAGTAAAATTTTACATATAAATATTTCTTTTTTTCTCTTCTTTGTTGATTCTCTCCTTTTAGGAAGGTTTTTTTTTAAATACAGTAGTTGATAAAAAATTCCATCCGGTAATTCTTAAAAATAAAATAACAAATATTATTATATATATTTTTTTAATTAGCTTATAATTTTGATTTAAATTAAAACAATATTTTTGCCAAATTTGAAAAACAAAATCCTAAAAAAATTTAAATGCTTTCCTTTGATTTAAATTAAAACAATATTTTTGCCAAATTTGAAAAACTTTTGGAAGATATCTTTGATTATTGATTATTTTTGTTCAACCTAAAAAAATTTAAATGCTTTTCAATTATTGGGTTAAATAAATTTAAAAAATATTTTAAGCATAAGGGTTTTGATATTTGGGGTGAAAATAATTTTTAATTTTATTTTTAAATTTATAAATAGTCTTATATAAATTATTAAACATAAAATTAATTATATTTTGACAAAAACATTTTTAATTCGGGGAAAGTCACCAAACCCTCATAGATACCTTTAAATTTTCCAACCCATGGATACTAGTGAGATTAATAAATCTTTGCCGATAACCCAACAATATTTTACTTACACCAAGTTCCTATTTTCTTGTCTTAATATCTGGACATTGTAAAATTCATTGATTATCATTGCATTTTAATTCTGCACGCTAGTATAACGATGATCAAGTACCAGCAGCGAAGTAAACCCTATGATATAATAAGGGAGGACGGGATCGGAATGAACTCGCGTGGGTAGAATTTTACTCAAAAAGGCTTAAATAGTTCTAGAGAGTTGAACTAACTTAGTTCGTTAAAGAAACACATTAAATCTATACAAGCACCTAATATGACTCCTTTTTTTTAAGTCAAAGCTCAATATAATGTATAAGTAATTTAAACCATGGAACGCCTATCGATTTAAAATTTTAAATTATAAGTTAAAGTTCAATTTTGACTAAGAATATTTAATTCCTATAATTTTTATAAGATTTTGGCTTATATAGAAATTTGTCTAGGAAGAATATTAAATCAATAATAAAATGTTATCTTAATATTGGCAATTGCCTTAAAAATGAAAAAAATACACAAGAAAAAATAATTTTCTTTATTTATAAATAACGATATTTCTGCCAATAAGAAAATCAAATAATAAACCAAAAAAATGTTCCAAAAATATCTATTTAATTTTATTAAACAAATATCGAATTCGCAAATGAAATTAAGAAAAATAAATAAAGTGAAAAATAGTGTCAGATTCATATTTTTCTTTTAAGATCTTTTTTTGATAATGATCTCCAAAACGATGTAAGAAATGGTAGCCAATACTAATATAACTGTCAAGAAAATGAGTTTCGATTTGATGCATAAGACTTCGTGAAAGCTGAAACTCATTACAAATCCGACGGCTTCCCATAACCGGTGGTTGGCGAAGGCTGGTTCAGGATTCTTTTGAAATATTGAACTGTATAAACCTGAAATTTATTTTATTTTATATTAATAAATATAATTATTGATGTGGGTATAAATAAATTTTAATTATAAATTAGTAAAAATGGAAAATTAAAAGGGTAATTATATTACACCAAACCTCAAAATTTCCTCTTTCAACTAAAAGCGAATGTAGGCAACGAAACAACAATTTAGAAAAATAGTTTATATTTTATATACTGAGAATAATTTTATTCCTCGAAAAGTTTCTAAACATTTTCTTAAAATTTTCTTAAAATAGATAAATAATATTTATAAATATGCACCATTGATTTGTGGCTGAAAAATCCCATCGAATAATCCCCATAAGCCCGCAACGATGAACATTAGATAAAAATGATCAGCAAATGCTTGTCTGGAGAAAGCCAAAATGGGGAAAACAAAACAGGAATGGATTATGGCAGTCGTTAGAAACAACGACCAACGAGGTATTTTCTTGCTCAGATAACCCAAACTGGGGCCAACTATAGCGTTAATTACTCCGTATATCATCATCACGAAACCCAGGTATCTCATCCCGTAATAACAGGTTATGTAAGCCTTTGGTAGAAGATGGATAAGAAAATATAATAATAAATTTTGGATTTTGCCTTAAATATTTCCTCTGCTTCCTTTCTTTCATTTGCTTAAAATTTCTTCCCATATTTATACTAACTTATATTGTAAAATTAAATGTCATTAAAAACATGTTTTGGGGTTATATATATTTTATTTTATAATGATAGATAGTTATGACTGATAAGAATATGGACTCGAAAAAATTTGGAGGTTAAATCAATCAAGAAAAATCAGGTATTTTAAATTTTTTAAATATACCCGGGTCGGGCCGGGCTTAAAAAAATTTTTTTTTAATATATCCGGGCCGGGTTTAAGATTGTTAAACCCGGGCCGGGCCGGGCCTTGATATTTTTTATAAAAATTTTTACATTATGAGTTAATGGTTATAAGATTATATTATTATATAGTTATGATTAATATAATATTGGGTGATGGTTAACACACCTAACACCCACAGATCGATCTAATTATTAATTTCCTGCAAATTTATTCAAAGTATTAATATATTTTTTTATAATTCATATCTAAATTTTTACAACATATTTTACCAAAACAATCAAATAAAGGAATATCTTAAATAAGCCCCAATATTCAAGTATTAATAATATATTTTTTATAATTCATATCTAAATTTTTAGAATATTTACCAAAACAATCAAATAAAGGAATATCATGGCACAAAATACTAATGATATAATTAATAAAATTAAAAATAATAATTATTCTTTTAGAAATACAAATAATAATTTAAAATCTGAAATATGGGCTAAATTTAACATCATCATAGATGAAAATAAAAAAAAACATTGGCTACGTACAATGTAAGAATTGTTCAAGTATATTATCTTATAATTATAAACATGGTACATCAATCTAAAAAGACATAAATGTGATGGTAAATCCATGAAAATTAATAATTAATTTTTACACCTGAAAAACCAACCTATAAATGTAATATAAAATATTTAAAAATTATAAAATAAATTATATTAATATTGTGCAATTAGATTTTTCAAAATACTATTTATTATACATGCATTTTTTTAAATAGCGATTTATTTTTATTTTATAAATTAAATAGTAAATTAAATAAAATATATAATATTCTCAAAATATTTTCCATTTTTATAAATTAAATATTAGTTTTATTTTTTTTAAATGCAATATAAAATATAGTATATGCTCAAAATATTATTACCATTTTTATGAATATTAGTTTTATTTTTATAAATGCAAAAAATATAGTATATGCTCAAAATATCCATTTTTATAAATAACAGTTTTATAATTTTTATAAATTCAATATAATATTCTCAAAATATTAGCTTTTTTCATGTATTTTTTAAATAATAAGCGATAATACTCGCTGAAAAATATGGTAAAATACCTTATAGGTGAATTTTTGTATATACCAGGTCAAATATAATTTTAAAAAATTCCGAGCCGGGCCGGGCCGTAAAAAATTTTTTTAAAAAATATCCGGGCCAGGCCGGGCCTAAAAAATTTAAAACCGGGCCGGGCCGTGCAAATGGTGCCTCTGCAGAAACAAAAATTTATGGTAAATTTTATATAACAAATCCTAAAATTTTATTATTAATTTTTTTTCTAAATTTAATTTCAGATTGAATAACCCGCTCATTTTTATATTTTCGTGTCGTAAACTTGTTTATATAAATCATGATTATTATATACATATAAAATTCTCAAGCTAAAAAAAATAATATAATAAATAATATGCTAATTATTCATTAAAAATAGTATTTTACATTCGTAAAATCAAAAAATAATCAGTGGAAAATTGAAACTAATTATCATTTATTTGATATTTCAAGTGCTATGATTTGTGAGACTTATTATATGCATATATAATATATTATTATACTAAGGCTTATTTACCCTTTTCTTAACATCGTATCATATCTATAATTAAAACTAGATTTATTTTTTTTCTTTTAATCTTTTTAAATACGTTAATTTTAAAACCTATTAATATGATTTAGTCGGTAAAAAGGACATTGATATAAATTATCAAATAACACTTAAAAATAGAAATTTCCTTATAAATAATATGATTATGTTATGTGATCCTACTTTCGTATAATCTGCCGACAAAATTCCTGTCTGCAATCCGCTATATATTGAAAGAGGAATCAAGCATATTTGCATCGGATCTAAGGTTTGATTTAGAGTGGCAAAACACATTGACCAAATAGAAATCCTTTTCTTAACACCTTTTGGTTACAACTAAATTATTAAAATTCTTGAGTTATATATTAATATAAGGCTTTTCTTCTCCGTAGCCAATGACAAAGGGAAATTCTCCTTCGATAATTTGTCTTAATAAATTTAATTTTAAGCTAAAATACCCCACCACCCCCTGTTCTGCCCACTTTCCCCAAAAATGTCTATAAACAAGAATTTGAGAGAAAAATGAGTAAAAGTTCATTTTTATTTTAAAAAAGTGAACAAAATTATTTTTATAAAAAACTAACATAGGTCCAATATAATTAAATGGGAAAACCCTAGGTAATAATTGCACCACACCACCCCCCTTAGAAAAATTCTGGTAACCCCTAATTTGCTTTAAACATTTCTCTCTCATTATGATCTCTATGTATAATTTTTAAAAATGATTCCAAAAGTCATTGCTATGTATTCTAATATAGCAAAAGAGAGCGTTAATAATAAATCTATGAACTTACTCAAAAAATTTTTTTTTTAAAATAAATACTCTCATTATTGTCATCTTTGATGGATTGCCTTGGTAGATTATCTAAGAAAATTATTACTACCAAAAGAGCCGAAAGGGATAGGGCTGTATAAATAGCGTACAGTGTGTATATTTTACCCGGAGAATATTTAATATGAAAATTCTGTGTCCCATTACTTGAACAAAAGGCCGAACCACAGTAGATAGAATCGTTTGAAATCGTCTTTCCAAACGATTTAATCACAATAATGTTACTGAGTGTAAGTGAAGAAATTAACTGACCAAATAAGGATCCGATCTCGTAGAATGCAAAAAATATGCCAAACAGGAATGGTGCTATATTAGCCTCTTGCTTATTATTTTCAACAATTGTTCCCGTAATTTTATTAGTCATAGAAGAGTTAAAAGATTTAGAAGGAACTGGCAAGGATAGAAGAATGTGTTTTTCTTTTAGGGTTGAGCGACACTGACAAAGATTTTTGCTCAAAGCAGTTATATAAACCGATTGAGATGTCCATAGTGGACCAGCAGCGAGACCCAAAAGAATTGAAGTAGGGTAAAGAGTATACCAGGCAGGTTTAAAATTAGCGGCGATAAAACTTGTATACATAATAATACATATGACGAGTGTCCATTTAATAGTTAGGTAGGAAATTAGTAGTTCTGGTAAAAATAGGCAAGACACTATAAAAAATCCGTATATTATGCTCAATGAATTGGAACCGAGTCCATTATAAGCATTTATGCTTGTTTGAAGTGTAGAAACAGCTTGAAATGCTGAGCATAGCAAGAAAAATGAAGAACTTAGAGCTACCAAATTTTTGTAAGATGTCCATTTTTGGGATTTTATATTGAGATCAGTCATATTCTTATCAGTTGGTGGGAGATGATAATTTTATACATTGATTTTTATTAATGCTAATAATAAGAATATGTCAATCTACATTCCATATTTCATCAATCATAGGTATAATAGAATAATTTTCGTGTATGGGTTATCTTTATGTTGAACATAATTTTATTATTATATTTAAAAAGTAATATACATTAATATTATAATTTAAAACAAAAATTGAATTTTAACGATAGCGAAAAAAAAATTATAATTATTAGGATAGATGATATTTAAACAAAAATACTTAAATTAAAAATAACTCACTATAATATTTTTTTAAGTTTATTATATCAGATTTCATTATATATTCAAAATTTAATTTTTCTTAATTCATTTTTTAAAAAAATTAAGATAAGAGACGGGGCTAAGGTCACTCTATATATTTTATACATTACAGGGAAATATAGTTAATTTTACACAATATTATATCCAAAAAGAAATGGTAATGTTTTTTTTCAATATCGCACAATTATTAAATAAATAATTAGCAATTTGTTCCATTACTCAATTTGTTTATATTTCGTTATAGAAATAATTTTATTTTGAAAATATATTACGAAAAATTATTCGTTTCTCAGCAAAATCAAACTAAAATCACGAATTAAACATCAACTCCCTCTGTCTTCAGACAATTACAGTATGCCGAAACTAACGTGATCCCTACCAGAGTTAAAGGTAATAATGACCATGCTCAACGCACCCATGAGATCAATCAAAGACTATGACACGGTGAAAACAACCTAGTAAGAGACCACGCTATCGGTGTCATGAGCAGGATAGTCTGCAAATATATTGATGAGGAGTTTAGCTCGTCTGGTCTTTCTCTACCCCTCATAACCAGGCCTAGATAGATATGGCAAGGTATAGAACGGATCTACTGGAATTTAAATGCCGAGGGCTGGACAGAGACAGATACGAGCTAAGGTTCTACGTAAATCGTAGAATGCGTGAGACATTGTGATCAATTCCAGCTAGAAGGGTTATGATATTAGCAATGGCCATACATTAAACTTGGCCAATCGAACATGCCAATGACGTTTTCTACTCTACTCTACTCTACTCAATACATAGATAGAGAAGATATTAAGTCGGTCCACGATCATCCTTTCTTCTAACTACAGAGGGGAAACAAACAAGAGATCGCATCAAAAAAACGTATGTAAAACATTTCTTGTGGTGCTCATAATAGACGGTCCAAAGGTGGGCACCACCACAATACTCAAAGGCCTTCAAGGCCAGTTTATACTCAAAGTCCCTTTTCAGGGTTAAATCCTGATATCCATAGTACTGAGGACATCAGGATGTGAGACAATGAACTACCTAACAATCCAAGGAGGACGAAGATCTCATTTCCCTAACTGGCTCTAACAGGTAAACATTTACCTGTGTAAACTGTGATAGGAGATCTTTTGGACTGAACAACTTAGACCATAGTCTCCCAAACAGCGGACTATCAATCTCATCATCCCGCTACGACCCTTGATGTCCAGAATGCCAGTTATGCACCTGAATCGAAGTTGTATCCAAAAATACAAGAATCGGGAATTGGCTAACCGATATTTCATCAAAACCATCTCCGACCATGTGGAGTAGCTCATCTAACAACGACCTTGACAGCAATTTATTGTATATGGTTTCTTCATTCGATTCAATTAACGACGGTGCTGGTTCTCCCCAGATGAATTCGATAGCTCTGCCCCTCCTAGATGATGTCTTCAACGATATTATCAACCCTAGGCATCTACTGGGCATCGTAGACTTTAACTTTAAGGAGTTCTCTTTGTTCAAGTTAGGTGAAAGTCCACTACAGTCCCCTTTCACGAAGCCTATAGCCAGACAAGATTTCAGGCCTAGGCTCGATGCTATCAAGATTCTTTGTCAAGATAAACGCTATTTTGATATCCTATTAACATTTGTTTTGCCAACAAATACACAATCGTTATAGAGCGACTCCTTATCGCTAACATACTAGATGCCTGGATGCTAACGTACTAAGAGATGATCAATAACAATTAAATATGCTTCCGTCTTTTAGAAATCAAATCAGTCATATAAGGTAATAGTGACTTATCGTAAGTATCGAAGACTTCCTGCATTGCCCGTTTAGGTTGAAGTCCATCTCACAGATGTCCCGTAACCTACAAAAGGTCTCCTTTACTCGCAAAATCGACATTCGCTCTGCCTTCTTATCGATACATCTCTCCTCTAGAATTTGTTAATTTTTCGGAGTTTACTTTCAGGGTTGGGGGGAAGGGATACCGTTACACTGTCCTGCCAATGAATGAATCACTTAGTCCTTCTGTTGTCATAAGACATATATGGCAAAACCACTCGAAGGGCTTCATACAAAGTCTATCTTGACGACATCCTGATTGTCAATGACCCCAAAGATGTTGGTTCACCCATGAGGCACACGCTAAATGAATGGGGAAAATCCACTTTCCTACCTACAAAAATTACCTATCTTATCATCCCAATAAGGACACCAATATTCGCTGACAACACAACTATTACCCGACTGGACCAAGCCTTCCACTTGCAATCCTACAAATATTTTTTATTAGCAGATCTAACTGCTCGTATTCTCAGCGTTCTTGGCCATAACAGGTATGTCATGTCTGTTGTATCCCTACTACGCCACTATGAAAGAACGACTTAGCACCGCCGTAGTTACCTATTTTACCAGCTACGATAACAATCGAAGCCCTCAAGGAACCTATTAAACTGCAATGGTACACCAATTACCCCCTTCCACGGAAGCCTCAGACCAACATATTGAACTATCATTTTGAGGTTAGGATAACTTATCCGAGTTTTAAGTACTACTCATGCTAGATGTCTCCTCATCGGCCATACAAACATCAACTTTAAAGAAATTTTAGCCATAGGTGTGGGAGCAATATAGGGGCTCTGGATAAGATTCCCTGCCAGCCATCTTCTACAGTCGCCTATTATGTCCTAAGATGAGGAGAATACAGGTCTCCATTCATTGAGATTATAATAACCTTAGATTCTCCGAAATATAGAACTAGTTTTCTTTACTGTTATTTCGCAGATTATTCCCTGGGTCCCTACCTACGAGAACCCGAGCCGTATAGAACTTCTTTCGGTGAATAAGCAGAGATGAACTGTTTAAAAATCCACTGCTAAAGGGATAAACTCATTCAGAAAAATTTCGCTCTCAGGGTTATTCGATTCCAACGACTACACGACAGCATTGTGTTCTGTAACAACACCCTCCCTACTGTCAAGTCTCTCTGAACTATTTGAGCATGCCAACAATAGTATCTGATAAGCAATCAATAATCAAAAATTCTCTCGAAGGGGCAATCACATATAGAAAGATTAATCCCCGCACATTATATAAATACTTGGCCATTATAATGTATTTTTCATTATCTTAATTTGTTTATATTTCGTTATTGAAATTATTTTATTTTACTTTGAAAATATATTACGAAATTTTTGAGTAAATACACTATAAAGGGAATGAAAAAACCAAGGCCAAGTCACCTACTAAAAATTCTATTTTCAAGTTTTTGGCCCCAAGCCAATTGGCTCACACAGAGGTCAAAATATTCAAATTTGGGGATAATATTTTCAAATTATGGGAGATTTTGCGGTGGAGCTCTGTGCTGTTGAAGAAAAAATTGCGAATATCTTCCGCTGACGGGGAGAGACTTGGAAACCCTGCTCACAAATAATGATATATCAGTTCACTAGGCCAATTTTTTTTCTTGATTATTTTTGGTTAGCGCTCTATACTCTCCCTCACATTAAAAATCTCCTTTAAAAATAATTCTTCTATAAATAAACATATAGTCTTGTTTAAAATTAATATATTTAATATTTCTATTGTTTATCTTTATTGCAATATAAGCCTCTGGTAAAATATTAAAAAAATTTAATAAAAAATAAAAGAATTGTGATTAATGTAGGTAATAATGATTATATTCGCTGTTAAATTGGTAATATCTCTAAAGATTTAAAATTCAAAAACTAATATTCGAGAAAATGCTAAAAAAAATTGTTTATAAGCGATAAGCGTAATAAGAATCTGTTGTGCCGGATATACAACCTGGTAAACAATTTAATAACCCTCTTGACTAAGTAATTTAGTTGACGATAAACATCATCTTTAGCGTAAATTTTGTTTAACGAACAAATGTTTTTTTCTTACTTAACACATCGTTTAGCACATTAATATTTTTGTTTCCATGTGGATCTCGCTATTTTTATGTGATTGGTTGTTTAAAAAGTACACGTAACGAAATTGAAATTGTATAAAAGAACGGGTTTATTATATATGGGATATAAATGCCTTTTTGATTAATTTGATTTTTTTATGTTAATTCAAATATTTTGAGTTTTTTCCTTTTAATCATTATTATTGTTATAATTTAATGGCAATTTTTTTATACTTCTGATTAAATTTATAATTAAAACTCGTAATTCCTCTGGATTCTTTTATATAAATAAATCGTGTTACTTTGCTTATTATTACTTAAATTTTCATCTTGTTCTAATTAACTTACCTATATATGGTCTTCTTGAATCCCGGAAAATAAACCCCCAGGAAAAAAAACCCCCGGAAAATAAACCCCCAGGAAAAAAAACCCCCTGAAAATAAATCCCCAGGAAAAAAAACCCCCGGAAAAAAATTCCCCAATAATTTTTTTTTCTTTTTTATAGAATTTACTTAAGACCGGTCTACTCTTCATAAAAAAATTCTTAAATAAGAAAAACTGATGTTTAAATTGGTACTGGGAAAAAATGCCTCAGTAAAATAACTATGTATTGTAAAAAAAATGAATTAAATTGTATATTGGGTGAATGTATATTTGTTTCTATTATAATAAATCACGAATTTATTTCAATATTCATCTTTTAAATATGCATGAATTAAGTTTCAATTTCTTTATATACTGGCTGCTAACAACCAATCAGGTTATATATAGATGTATTTCTAAAAATTGATTATCTGCTTAAATAAATTTGTATTTTAAAAAAAATACATTACGTTTTAAGTATCAATAGTAAATATAAATAACCCATCATATTGGGGGTAAATTTGGATGGTGCATCATATTCATAGGAGACACACCAACTCCAGCAAGATCCATGACAGTAGGAGGAGGTGGGGGTGGAGGAAGCATGAATGGTCTATAAGCAAAAATTTGATGAGGTCATAATATTTTTAACAAATTATTAACTTGCAATTGTATATATACCAATTCAATATAAATTATTGATAGAATATACTTAAATATGAGAGTGTATAAAAATAATCTCAAGGGGTTTTTTTTCCGGGGGTTTTATTTCCTGGGGGTTTTTTTCCGGGGGTTTTTTTCCGGGGGTTTTTTTCCGGGGGTTTTTTTCCAGGGGTTTTTTTTTCCTATTACCGGTCTTCTTGTTACATTTATACTAGATAAGGCAAAAAACTTTCAAATTGACTTATAATAGAATAAGGAATTTATTTTTAGATGCTCCTATTACTATCGAAGTCTTCCTATTTATGATGATCAAAACCATCCCTATTACCTTGAGATAGCGGGGTTCTCTAATAACTCAATCCGAGGGCTTATAAGTAGGGTACAAATCATCTTAATAAACCTGAGATATTTCATGGAAATGGGAATAAAGTACAATAACACAATTATATATTTAATTTAAGATAGCGACTTTACATTTGCGCCTTATTTCCAATTTTTTTCGATTAGATTATACTAGTGTTGTAAACGAACGCGTTCAAAATGAACCCGTTCGTGAACGAAGTTCGTTTTTTTGAAAAAAGGTGATGAACGGTGTTCCTTTTTTTTGACGAACTTTGAACGTGAACGCGTTCCTTTTCTTTGATGAACGCGTTCAATTTTACGTTCGTTATTTTAAAAACACTTTTTATTTTTATTTATCTGAAAAATTAATATTAATCCGCATTTTTTAACAAAAAAGTCTTATATTTTTATTTATTTAAAAAATTAATATTTAATCCAATTTTTTAACAAAAAAGTCTTATATTTTTTAATCAGCTGTTTTTACTTTTTCCTTTTTCATTGCAATTAACGTACCATAGTGCGAAGATAAGATTAAAGTTTATTAATTTGAATATTTTATATTTTAATTTAATAGATTAGCATTTGCATGGATATAAATATTTCATCATCAGATTCTGAAAATCAAAATTCAATATTAGATGAATTAGAATTACCATGGCCCAAATATCAAAAATATTTCACTGTTTTAAAATCAATTCCGAGATATCCTTTTTTTTGACGTGGAAGAAGAGGGCAGATTGGAGGATGATAACATAGCTCAATTTTTTGAAACAATGGATAAAACATTAAATGTTTTTAATAAATTCCCCCTTTTAAAAGAATTGTTTATCAAGTATAACACCGCAATCCCTTCATCTGCCCCTGTTGAGCGAGTTTTTAGTATAGCTAACGCTGTATTAACTGACAAGCGTTCATGCCTATCAGATGAAAATTTTGAAAAACAATTATTATTAAAAATTAATAAGAAAATTTTTTTATAAATTTATTTTTTTATCGCTCTATTAAATTGTATTTATAATTATATTATCAAAATAAAACTATTATTTTTTATCATGGCTAATATATTGTGTTGAAAAATATAAGGCATTTATTTATATTAAATTAAATTTTAAAAAAAATTTATCATAAAATTTTGAACGTATGAACGCGTTCATGAACTTAAACGCGTTCCTTTTCTTGAATTTGAACGTGAACGTGAACGCGTTCGATTTTTGTCAATGAACGTTGAACGCGAACGCGTTCGATTTTTTTAAAAATGTTTACAGCACTAGATTATACTTAATAGAAATCAACTGTATATATCTTATAGAGTATCCCATCTCGACAGGCTAAAGTGCACATTATGAAAAAAATAATTAAAATGTGATAACCATTAAGTTATGCAAGTAGGAATTATTTCTTGATTTTATCAAACATTTTTTTTATAATTTAAAAAATTATATTTCCCATATTTATTTAAAAGTCTAACAATATAATCTGGTCATATGGTTTATCATCTTCGGTTATGTTACGATTATATGTTTTAAAAATAAGGTCATAGAAACATAAAATAAACTCTTTTTAGAAGAAATCCTTGGTGGAGAGTACTAAAGGTTCATATTTTTAAACAATTCTTTCTTATATGATGCCTGATTTCTTAATCATTAAAGAGCAGAGTTTGTAACCTGGATTAAAAACAGTAATGATTTCAGTTTTGAATACATATATAAAAGAGTTACCTTCGGTTTTTAAAATGTTGTTACATGAATTGAAATCATCAAATACTACCGAGCTAAAACAAACTTGTTGAATTCCTTGATTTAGATCTAAATGTGGACCAAGGATATGTTTTTTTTATTCTAAGATGATTAAATGGCAAATAAATGGAATATAGTTTAATCATCTATTAATTACAAAGAAATATATAAATCTTTGCCTTCTCAACCCTCCGAGAATCATAATTTGCATCTGATTCAAATATTTTTACATACATCATAATATTTTCATTTTATATGTTAAAAAATTATAAAAAATTAAAATTTAAAGGATGTGATGATCAGTCAACATAAAATTATTATATTCATTTATAGTAATTATGAATTTAAAAATCCTTTTATTTTTTAAAATGGAAGAAATTCGAATTTAAGTTTTCTTAAACAATTTCTAATTTTACAAATTGATATTTTGTATCAGTTCTTATGCCGAAATTAATAAATTTATAGTAGCATTAACTTTTGTATTGCCTAAGGTTCAAGGAACGACATCTTTCAAGCCCTAATCTAATGTCGATTTTGGTTTTGGTGACATGAAGGAAAAGTTTGCCAGTTAAATCTCAAAAATGGGTGTTGTGTCGTCAGCGTTATATTATTTTTTGTTCTTATTTTTTTCATAAGATTTATGTTCACATGACATTATGCTTTCATTAATTCTGATGATCTACTGATAGCGCAATTTGGAAAAGTCTAGTTACACAAAATTTCTATATATTATATTCAGCCAAACATATTATACTTTTATTAAAATGTATAAATTGCTTAAATGTTTAATGAAAGGCTGTAAACCTTATGGTTACTCAATCACCTTATAGTGGTAAACTATATAATTTCCTGCCTTAACAGACAAAAATGTTAATTTTTTTCCCCGTGATTAATAGTTTATAGAATAATATACTAATATTTAATTTTTATTATAACTATATAATAAAATTGAACCAAAAAAAAAATAGTATATATGTTAATTACAAGTAACAATGTTTATTAATGGATTTTGTATTGTAGAAGACTTAAGGCTTAAAACGATATATTATATTATATTAAATATTAAATTGTTGTTTTGAAAAGTTATACAATGATTTTTATTTAATATTAAATTGATGTTAATTTTGTATATATACTTAAAGGATCATGATTACTTTTACCTTTTGTTTTTTGATCTTAGATAAAATAAAGAACTTAATTATTAATATTCCTAATCTTCACGGATTACACATTCTACAATTTATTCTATATTATTTATTCTTGTTCATTAATATATATATAAACATAATTATATTTTATAAACATCATTCCGAACATTTTTGGATAATAATATTTAGGGACACGATTTAGTGAAACAATCATCTAATTTACCAAAATTTTGGATTTGTTTCTTAAGATTAATATATTTTAATTTTTTAATTATATATCATGTCCCACATCTGGCTAATTTTAATTTTTAACCTTAAACCTAACATCTTCCAAGAAGTTGGCTCGAGAAAAAAAACTGATCCCGCTGGAAACTGGAACCTCTTCAGGATCCTCAGTCGATCTCCTTAACTCTTGAATACACCTACCACATAAAAAAAATAGATTTTTTCCCCCTATAAATAGTAGGTATATTAGATTTAAGACCAAATATCCAACATAAATTTTGTATACGAAATTGTAAGTGGATATGTCGTTATCAAATCATGTCATAACGACATGTTCGTTTCAGCTCATTTTTGCGAAATTCTATTTTTAAAAACAATTTTTACAAACTTTTTATTAATAATTATATTTTACATATTTATTTACGAATCTTAAATCATAATTGAGTCAGTTTTATCATTATATCTATTAAATACATAAATTCCTATACAACATTTTTTTCGTTACGCTTTTCACCGAATCCGAAATTTTTCTCTGACATCCTCATCTACAATCCTATCATCTTCAACATTGATAGCTGTAAAAAAGGGAAATGTGTTTTTTTTAAATATGATATAAAGTTACCAATAGAAAATATAACTTAGGGTGTGCGCTCACATATGCGTCAATTATCCAAATTAAAAAAAATTCTATTAGCTTTATTTATAATTTATCTGAGTGAGGTAATGCATATGATTTTTTTACAAATGCACCTAATAGCTATTTTTTCCAATTACAGCATAGAATGGCTCTTTGAAATATTTGAATAATCGTAAAAGGAGAATTGGCATCCATTACCTTTATTTCTCAAAATCCTTGCCTTACTAAATTAAGTGACAATAACTAAATCGTTTTTATGGAATTCTATACGTAACAGCATAGCACATTACATGTATTTATTATATATAATTATTGTTACGCGGATCCATCGAACATCTGCAGAACATACACCCATCAGCACCCGTCATAGATATATTACATTCCTGTGAGCACTTGCTGTCTGGACAATTATCATTGTCTAAATGTAAGAAAAGCAGTATAATTTTTTATTAATAATAGACAAAGGATTGATGTGTTGAATAATAGACTAATTCGGCTTATTCTACAAGCACGTGTCAAAAAAAAACTCAAAACATTGAGATACTATCTTATTTATTTCTACAAAGTTAAGAAGCTACCCTTTTCAAAGAAAGATATTTAAGGGTTTGCCGGTTAAAATTGGGATAAATGTGGAGCGAATACCCAACTATTATGCTAAACTGTAATTTTTAATATTGAAACACATGTAAATTTATGCATTGAGAAAAAAAATCAATCCTTCAAAGCTTTGAAAGACATCGGAAATATATTCATTGTGAAATATTATATTTGTATTTATTCACTTCTAGACCCCTCTCATTTGAATATTTAGAAAATTTTATGTAATTTTTATTTATATTCTAGTGTCAAAATGGTTCATTATGAACATAATTAGCACCTTTATATGGTATAGAAGTTAAACATATTTTTTTTTCCTTTAAAAATATATAAAACTGTGTCCAAAACTCGTAAAAATTTAATGAAAAATAGTAATTACACCTTCTTTAAACAGAAAATAAGAACTTAGGATTAGTTTTATTAAATTAGCGCAATTCCCCATCAAAAAATGATGAAAAAATATAGCACATTTATGGTGTCCAATAAGCTTTCTTATTGAATCAAATGCTATTTAATTAAATATTTTAGAATATCTCGATATTAATATAAGCTACGCATATTCTTAACGATATAACTACATACTTCTAATGATGTATAAATTATCTAATGATTGCAAGTCAATCCTTTTTAATTAAATATAACATTTAAGATTTACTGCTCAAAAATATTTGTATAAAACACTTATATTTCAATAAATATTTATATATATTATAATTATTATACATCATTTTTTTTGTAATATATTACATTACACAATTTGTTATTTATTCATTTTCTTTAATTTTTAATATATTTAGCGTTCATGCCAAAGGTCTCATTATAGAAACTTAAGTTGATTATAATTTTTTATTATTATTCATTTGGTCATTATTCAGTCCAATTTTAGAATATGGCCTAATAAGGTAAATGGCTGGCATCATCAACAAATACACAAGTGAGTTTTTTTTTATAGTTGATGATGAAAGAAATGCTGAGATAGCAGCAATGTCTTACCTATTAATAATGTTTAAGTTTTGGATAGGTTTTATAAAATTTTAGCAAATCGTCAAACTTTTGAAACAAATACTTTTTTTGGTTTTGGACCGAGTTTAATATAGAATGCATTAAAATAACAATATTAAATGAATATTATTTGGCAGATCAAACAAAAAGGTGATGGGAAAAGTGAAATTGAAAAAAAATAAAATAAAATAAAGATAAAATGAATGAAAGAAGAAGAAAGAAAGAAAGAAAGAAAGAAAGAAAGAAAGAAAGAAAGAAAGAAAGAAAGAAAGAAAGAAAGAAAGAAAGAAAGAAAGAAAGAAAGAAAGAAAGAAAGAAAGAAAGAAAGAAAGAAAGAAAGAAGAAGAAAGAAAGAAAGAAAGAAAGAAAGAAAGAAGAAGAAAGAAAGAAAGAAAGAAAGAAAGAAAGAAAGAAAGAAAGAAAGAAAGAAAGAAAGAAAGAAAGAAAGAAAGAAAGAAAGAAAGAAAGAAAGAAAGAAAGAAAGAGAGAAAGAAAGAAGAAGAGAAAGAAAGAAAGGAAAGGAAAGGAAATATGAAAAATATACCCCCTGATATTGATAATATCATTGATTGAAATATCACCATCATCATCATCAGAATAGCGCACAATTTGGATCCCATTAATTATATTAAATACTTTCTTTTTTATATAATTTAAAACATTCAAAAAAGCATAAGCAAGCAAAGAAAATCTTTAAAATAATTTAACGATTTCAAAAAATTTAAATTTTTTAATATTTTTCAAACAAAATAATTTATTAGCATAACTTAGAATTCTAGAACTTGTTTAAAAGTTATTATATTAGAAATAATAGTAAAATTAAGGAACATTGGCGCTACAAAAATATTAAGTTACAAAAGTATAAGAATAATTCTATAGTTTACAATTAGAAATATATTTTTATACATCGGTTTTTTGTCATGGTAAACTGATTTGTGTTGTCTTTACTCTAAAATATTTCTCACTATATTCTATTTTACTGAAATTATAATTATAAAAATACCTAAATCTCAGGGTGTGATTGGCTGAGTTTAAAGTTATTATATGGGATTTTACACCAGTCATAACTTTCAATGACGTTTCAAGTTTTTTTTTTAAATATTGATATTTTTGTGTTCCATTACCTTTATTCTTTACATTTTTAAACAATATAGTGGAATATATTTTTGATGTACTAATATACTACATTCAATTTGAAAGGCCTTTGAAGGTGATATAGGTGATATGGGATCTAACCTTAATGAGGTAGGTACATAAATTCAATAGAATTAACAATTTTTATTAATTAAAATAAGGGAACCAGGAACAATTATTTTTTTTTTCTTTTCCATTTGCGTTCTGGCCATAAAAATGTCACGTTCCAAGTTTTCCGATAACCTGTTATATTTTATTTTAAATTTAAAGTTTTTAGAAGCAAACACATAAATAATACTAAGGGAAATCGGAGAGCTCAATTTTTATCTAATGATTTCAAAAAAAAATTTTTAGCTAAAAATTTCAATATGATTTTTTTAATTAGCCATTTCAAAATAACCCATTTTTAGTTAACAATTTCAAATTCTCTTTTTTTAGCTAACACAGGTTATTAGACAGAAAAATAACAAAATAACAGAGAAATATATATAAAACTTAATGTATATACCAAGAATTTCGAAATGGAATGTGCAATTTATATTAGATATTTTTATAGCATTTAATTTTACTTATATTAGATAGCTAGAAAATTATCGCCGGGGGTTTGTAAGCCGAAGGTACCAGGTTCAATCCTGTTAAGGAACTGTAAAAATTTTCAGGTTTTTTTTCGATGAGTTATGTGTAAAGACATATTATAAGATGAATATTTGAGCTTAGAAATGCCACCCCGGTCACCGATAGGCTTGAACAGCCGGGTGCTAGGATATTTGTCAATAAACCATGAAAGGATCAAACAAAAATATAAATATGAAAGCTAGGGCGTACCCTCCTCCAAGCGACGCGCAGGGTGTTAGACCTCCATCCTGTGAAAAGTTAAATAAAGGTTAAAGCAAAGAAAAAAAGGTTAGCAAGCCTGAATGGTACACTTAAAGGTAAGACGAGAGAATTGGCATCCATGTTGAACAAGAGAAAAGTTGATATAGCATGATTACAAGAGACGAAATGGAAAGGTCAGAAGACTCTGGAGATGGGTATAAATTGTACTATAATAGAATTGTTAATAATAGGAATGGTGTCGGCATTATCCTCAGTCAAGATCTAACCACCTCAGTGGTAGAAGTAACAGGATCTCTGATAGACTAATGAAAATAAAACTCTGCATTGGGCAAAAAATACTACACATCCTTTCGGTATATGTTCCTCAAATGGGTTGCAAAGAAGAGGAGAAACATGACTTTAGAGCTAACTTTGAAGCTGTAATGGAAATCCCTACATCGTATTCGGCCAATAAGGCTTTAGCAATCTAGTAAATGTTGTTATGGACGATTGATACAAATATCAGAATTTCCATCAATTCTTTGCCGATTTTCAAAAAAAAAACATAATATTATCCTTATAGGATCTTCTTTTGATATAACATATAATCTTTAAAAGTATAATTTTAAAAAAAAATTTGACAAGCTCAAATAATGGTATTTAAAAAATAAGGTCTATTGAATAAATTGTTTTAACTAGGTGAAAAAAAAGAAGAAATAACATCAATAAAAATTAAAATGGAATTTGCCAAAAAAAACAGGCGCGATGTTGGGCCTTAATAATTCTTAGTTCTTAAAAGACATGTGATTGGCGATCGCGTAAAAAATGAATGAACAAAATTTGCCAAAATTGTAGCTATAACGGTTATATAATATTTGTTTGAAAAACCTAAAATAAAATTTATATTTAAGAAAAAAAAAATTTGAACAGAGACAATTGACGGATAGCAGTCGAACATAATTAACATCTATGAAAAATAAAGATTTAAATTTAAAAAATCGAGAATATTATATGACTTTTTTTGAGTAACCCAGTTTAATTTTTTATCCATCATTTTGAAATTCCTTTCTTTAACGCATTCTCTCTCTCTCACTATCTTTCTAGATTGAAAAGTATCGATTTTTTTTATAGTAGCCGTTTTATCTTGATAAATATGATATATTAAAGTAGAAATATTTCATATCATTTAATATATGACACATGAGACATCATGGCACGAGAGTTAATAATAAAAATAAAATAATATTGTATGATATTGCATAAATTTATATAATATTATAACATATACAACACAGGTCCGCCACACGCAAGCTAAACGTTTTTTTATTTATAATTCTTTATCATATATTAAATAAATACAAAATCAAAAATATTTTATTAAAGCATATTATTATTATTATTATTATCATCATTTATAAACTATTTATTAAATAATTTTTAAAAAAAAGGAAAAAACTTTTGTTCAAAAATCTGTCACGAAAATTTTTCAGGGAATTTTTCTGGAATTTTTTTATATATAGAAAAAATAAAGAAGAAAAAAAAAGGTAAGGTATATAACTAAATGAAAAATGATTATTACTCGTAAAAGTTTTTATCTAATTTTAAAAATAATATAATATAATAAAATAAAATGACAAAATTAGGATTAATTATGTGGATGAAGAGCTTGTTGTTTACCTGGGTGCTATTGCAAGCCGAATTCGGGATCTATGAAGGGAGAATAGAGGAGGTATTCCCTTTCCCAAATTACGGGCTTACCAAAGAATTCGAGGAGTGGAAATCGGGGTAAAAATGCATTTTTAAAAAATTATAATATTTTTCTTTCTTTTAAAAGATCTCACGAGCCAAGCCCGTCCTTTAAAATGATAAGATTTTTTTTAAAAAAAAAGAAATAGGCACACTTAAATTAAATTAAATGGGCCGAGCCTCAAAATGGGCATTTTACGGGTTTCGCCTATCTCATATTCTTATTCAATATTTTGCGTTTCTTTCCTTCTAACTTTCAATCGTTTTTTAAAATAAATAATCTTTGGGAATTTCAGTCACTATGACTAGCGCTGGAAGGTAAATGATAATGTTGTTTAAAAGCTCAATTCGGCCCGATAAAAAAACTGCAAGATTAAGATTATAACCAAAATAACATTATGGTAACCCTAAATATTTTGCTCATAGCTTGACAGAAATGCTTGGACATCTATTTACAAAATCTCGATGCTTACAGAATATTATTTTAGCTAAAACTTAATCGGGCCCTTTTGAAGAATCAACCCAAATTGGGCTTGTAACGAGAGTAGTAAATGGCTTAATAATCGATAAATCTAAATAAATAATATACCATCTTGTTTCAATATTTCCACAAAAAAAAAATTACGAGGAGAGCCATATTTGGGGAGGTTACTCATATGCATGGATCTGATGTGAGAATTTAAAAAAAAAATAGCATGATTCTTTAAAAAAACTCTCCAGACCCTCCACTATAATTAAATAAAATTATTTTTTTTAAGATAGGTTTGTTAGACAATATTTTTGCAAAATTGCAATATAATATTTGAAAATGGCTAGATATAACGATTGAAACTGTACATTGTATGTGTCATATCATATAGCATTTTTTAGTAAAAATTGCATATTAAGTCATTAATTGAGCGCGTTATTTAAAATTTAAAAATCTGATTTTGCCGAAAATTCATTCCAATTGGTGTTTAATAACCCACCCTATTAAATTTCAAACAATTTTATATTGAGCTTTTAAAGAAATTTCAATTTGAAATGCAAAACCTACTGCGCATGTAGGGAAAACCTATTAAACTATCGCCTTCCCTCATTTTTATATGTGATCCAATTTTAAAAAAAAATCAATATCATGCTCTCATAAATGCATAATATCAATTATATATTAGGTTAAAAAAAATAAATAATCATTAAAGTTAAGAATTCTAGAGAAAATCTGAGCTAAGAACTCCAGGCTGATAAGATCCCCGTTCTCTTTCATTCATTCTTTAATTTTTTTAAGAGTTTATAGATTTTATATTAAAAAAAAATTTTTTTTTTGTTAGTGCAAATAATATTAGTGAATTCTTATAATTTTAAAATAAAAATTATTTATATATACTTGTAATTTAATATGTTAACGTTAAGATGAGGGGAGTCACGATATCATATATCTCTTATAGAAGCATAAAAAATAGTTTTGCTTTTTTTACATAAGAAAGGCGGGACAAAAACAAATATGCCTATAAATTATTTTATTTTAACGAAATTTTGAAAACTTAATTTGACAAAATGAGTGAGCATTAATGATTTAATTTAAAAAAAAATTCAACCAAAAAGCTATAATGATTTAATGAAAGTTATTCCAGCAAAAGAATTATATAATGATTTAATGAAAAATTTTCAGAAATATTGGTACTTTAAAAATGATATAAAATTATGATACGATTTTATTTTCCATAAGATTATATAGTATATATATATATATATATAGTCTATTTAAAAAATGTACAAAATATAAAAATAAAAAATCAATTAATTTTGATTCTGAAACGGATAACCGTCGTAAAACTATATGATTTTCTTTCACTTGCATATTTATAATTTCCTCTTAATTTGCATCCAAAATTTACTTAAAATTAGCCAAATTTTAAAAATTCGCGCTCAGTTTAGATAGAAATATCTTTGAAATCATTAATGGTCAAAATGGGAAATGGGAAAAAAAATTTTTAATCCAGGTCCGGCATCAAAATTTGGCATCTAAGGTCTCCTAAATTATATACATTTTTTTTTCTCTTACAAATTTAGGAAAAATTTATAAATTTAACTTCAAAAAAGTAATTAATTAAACCACTCTCATTAAGTGATCGTTATAATAATTTCTATAAATAAATCAATAATTTAATTATATAATATAAGCTGTAGAACCTTCTCTTTTTTTTTCTTTTATGCTAAAATATAAAAATTAAACCCTTTTTACCTCCCAATAGCATAGCTGATAGTGATTCATGCTTTCTATATATTTTTTTTTTGTAATTGCCATTGTCAACTTTAAAAATTTTGAACATAAATTTTGAAAATATCTGATAATTTTTTTAAGAGAAAACATTATTTTATTTTATTTTTACCTTTTAGCGATTTTTCTTGTTTTTTTATATATATATTCTACTTTTGTAGATTTTTTTTAAAAAATTTAAAGATAAGAATTTTTATGAGATTCATACTCACATGGTTCTAATCAACTTTCCTATATATAAATCATTTTTATTCCTAGGGAAACTAATAAATACTTTTATTATATAATATATATATATATATTATTTATTTAAGCCGAACAAAATTAGCGAAGGTTTCATTATTATATTAATTAAATCTATTTTAAAAATCAGAGAACTGCATGCCCGGGCAAGAAGTAGTGTTGTGAAACGGCTCATTATAAGCCGATTTTTAAAAACGGCTAACTCAATATTTTATTAGGAAAAATATTATGCAAGCCTTAAGATTTTGTTCATAGGTGGCACAAAGGTTTGAACGTCTATTAACGAAATCTCGAAGCTTACGCGATATTTTTCTGGCTAAAATATTGAGTTAGCCCTTTTTAAAAATCGGCTTAAATCGAGCCGTTTAACAACACTAAGCAAGAACAAATAATGATATGGATTTTAAAAAAATATAGACACCGGATTAGAAAAATTTTTAAAAAAATTTATACTTTATTTTTTACAAATTTATTAATGAGTGATAAAATGTTGGATAATTTAATATCCATTTACTAGCACACATTTTCCGTTTCTCCGTGAAACTATTTTTCAAAATATAGCCAAAATTATTTTTAAATAACAAAAATTTAAAAAAATTCTCGGGACCGGGTGATTGGAAAATGATTCTTTTTTTAAAGCTTCAGGGTCAGTTTGGGCTTTACAATAGATATTTGTAGAAAAAAAAAATCTAAGACGGGCCTAAAAAGAATTTCCACCTCAGCAGGTCTCTAATAAATAAAATATCCTTTAATAAAAAATATTATAATAAAAAAAAAAATTTTTTTTCGCAGTCCTAACGTTTGCAAGGATCTTATAATTTTGAAAGCCGTAAGCGAAGATGGCATATACAATATGAAGGATTATTTAGAAGTTCCGAATAGTAGATTTCCCGTGGCGGGTAGCATTGTTCCTCGGCATTACTCCAAATCTTGCACCAAATTTCAAGATTTTTATCAATGCAATACAAAGTATGTATTATATATATTTTATTTTAAATATAATTTTGTCTAAACCATTTTTTTTGTTGTAACTAGTTTTGTTAACCGACTAGATTTAAGCCGATTTAAAGTTAAGATTTTAGCCAAAATAATCAGAGTTTCAAGTATCTAGATCCTGTATCTAGATATAAAAATGTGGTATCTGTATCTAGATAGATTTTTGATTAAGATATCTGTATCTAGATATTATTTTAGACGATGTATTTATATCTAAATCCATTTAAAAATTATCTTTTAACAACTCTGAAAATAATAATACGCAACTCTTCCTTAATAGTTGTCCAAATCATTCAGTCATCTTCTGAGCAAAATCTCCAGGGTTGCATAAATTTTTTTGGGCTAATATATTGGGTTGTTAGCCCTTTATATTAAAAAATCTAGCCATTTAACAACACTATTTGTAAAAATTATTATAATAAATCTTGGAAAATGAACATAGACCTCTCTGATTTAGGGACTTTTTCCCCTCAATTTTGTTAATCTTAAATTTTTTTTCCTCCGTTGAGATTATTTTTCTAAAGTTTATTAATCCTTTCCTGTAATATTTTTTCTTTCCTAGAGATTTTTTTGCATTTTTCCATAGCATTAGTCGAGCATTTTCCACATTGTAGTTTTTATGGAAATTTTCCTTTTTTTATATATAATTATTTTTTATTGATTAATTTGTCACAAATAAAATATTATAATAAAAAGTAGATATTTAATGGAGAATTTGTTAGATTAATTTTACTTTCTCTCTGAACACGAAATATAAAACTTACGGAACTTCCCAGGCTGGTAAGGACCTTATGTTTAAGAGGGATTGAATTATTTTTTAAAAAAACGATAAATATATGGGTTAGCCTCTTTAACACTTTGGTGAATAATAAGAGAAAGTCTATTTTCAAAAAAAAAGGAGGATTTTTTTTTAAAAAGTAATCGGGGTTGTTGCTAAGTTTTGATAAAATCTCGAGTCTTAGATATAAGGATTTATCCGTTTTAAAATGCCTGCTTTTTAAAGTAAGAAATCGTTATAAAAATAATCCCTATCCCAAAACCAAAAGTATAAATCAACCGTAAATAATCTTGAATAATTTTATTTAGCAAATAAAATCTAATTACACTTATATTCTTATTTATAATTATACTAGTGTTTCATTAAAATATTTAAAATTTCATATGCCAAAAACTTTGATTCTTGAAGTAGTTTTATATTTAAATGAAACTCTTCCATTTTTTTTGGCTTATTACTTTTTTAGCTGCGGTAAATGAGCTCAAACGAAAGATGAATTTTTGATATCATTATGTGTAATTAAGAATAAATAATTCTCTTAAATTATTAAGGCAAGGTTATTACAAATAATTAGATCACTTAATTATTATAATTACAGTCAAATATGCAGTAGTCCCTAGTGAAATAAAAAAAAATTAATTGAAGTATTTAAATATAATATTATAATAACTATTATGACAACCTTGTCATACTTATAAAATAGTTATATATATAAATATTTATATTTATATATTTATGTCGTATTGCGGGATATGGAATTTAAGGAGATTACTTTTACGCGCCATTTTTAAATTTAAAAAAATCTGATTTGAACGGAAATTTATTCCAGCATGTATGGAGTGTACCCACACTCTAAATTTTTAAATAATTTTGCCGGGAATTTTTAGAACTACCCTTAATTTGTATTGATTTTTATATGGATTTTTTTATATAAATTATAAAAAAATATACAAAAGTTTATGTAGAAAATTGTCTGGAATTTATAGTTCATCCTTTTAGATTTTTTTTAAAAAAAAACCAATAACAAATATTTTTAAACATAACTATTTTTTTTTATGTTTAAAAAATCAGAGATATATTAGTTTATTCAAAAATATCAGCCGGTCCAGTGACCTATTAATCTGATTTCAATTTCAAACTTGTGCGATGCCAAATTTTTTTTAACTGGCATCTCACATTATTGGATTCCCTTATAAAATTAGAGGCAATTATTTTACACGACAAAATTAAAGAATTAATAGCCAGGAGGTCTTATAAATAAGCGGTGGTAAGGAGTTGAGTTGATAAATGGCAGATACATTTAAACTCGGTGTTTCACCAGGTCTTCTGATTTAAAATTTAATGATGAAATAATATTATAGCGATAAAATATCAGATTTTTTTCCCCATTTTCACTCTTTAAAATTTCAGAAATTTTAACTTTAAGCGAAGAAAATTTTTATAGAAAAATGTAATGATTTTGATTTTGCGACCATTTTGGAAGAAATAAATAGTTTTTTTGAATTTTTAGAAATTCAATTAGTTATTTTGTCCCCCCTCTTACTAAAAAAAAATTAGATATTAGAATCAGAATCAGAATAAAATCATGTTACTTTTTTGAGCTGGTATTCAAGAAAAGATTAACTTTTTTGGGAAATTTTTTTTTCTATTTAATTGTTATTTTCATTAGATATTTACTTGTTAATGAGATCAAGTTATTAAACTTAGACCAATCACTTATTCTTAATCTTGCCTAAATCTTCAAAAATTTTCAAATTTGTCGAAAGCCCTAGAAATTTTGAATTTTATAAGAAGAAAAATTGTACTTTTTAACATAATAAAATTCCCAAATTATTTTTTTTTGCCTAAAATTCATGGGAATTTTTTAAAAAAAAATCAATTAAAATTCATAGAATGTTCAGAGGACAACTTTTGCAACATAATCTCACCGTTTATTCTTGTTGTTATGGATTTGCTAATCAAGTAAATCAACCTGGATGTCCTAAAAGTATTAGTTTTGTCTTTTCTCTCTTTTTTCCAAAAAAATCTTTTTCTTTCTCTTTCTAACTCTTTCTTCTTTCCTAATTTCTTTATTCTCCTTTAAACTGCCCTAATTTTTTTCTTTATTTAATGATTTTTTTTTGAAAAAAAATATTATTTTGTCAGAAATGAATCTTACAAGTATGGTAGAGACTCTATCCCAGCCCAACTTCAAATATGCCTTAGATTTTTTTGATTTGGGACAACTAAAATCGGAGACCAATCAAAGAAATATCACATTGTTCTTACCGGAGGAACAATACTTGAAGAATTTCGTAAGCAAGCAAATTTTTTATATGATAATTATTTTAAAAATTTTAAATTATACTTAGAACCCTCCCCCCTCTCCTCTTTCAACAAATGAAAAAAATGATTTTACCGCTAAATAGTCCTATATACATATAAAACACTCGATTATAGGCGCTGTATTGTACTGTATATCTACATATTAAATTGAGGGGGTACCTTTTTTAAATTGAGGAATTTGATTTAAATGTGGACGTATTCCAATAAACAATTTTTCCGTTAACTTTTCTATATTTTTCAATTGTAAAATCAAATGTAACTTAAATGCTAACGGCGGTAAAATTTCGGAATCTTAACGTTTTCCAAATAAAATTAAGGCAAATATAATTAGAACTTTGGGATAAGAATATATAAAGATTGGAAATTTGACCTTTTATATTAGGATTAATTAGACTTTAACATATAAATATTTCCCTTCAATAGCAAATAGTTGTCAGTAACTTAGTTTTTAGCCTATTCCAAAATGGCCTAGTCGAGTTTTTATCTGAAAATTATCTGTTTATTCTCGAAATTTCAGCCGCTATAAGCGGATCTATTTTGGCCTAAAGGCTGTGTCCGAATCAGCTATTTCTCAATATTAAGTTATAACGCTACTTAAATTATCTTTCTTCATTCAATTCTACAAATTTAATATTGATTTTTTATTTATTTATTGCAAATATAATTCTTTTTTTTTGAAAGACGAAAGCTCAGGCTAATTCATCAGAGGCCTTATTAGCGCATTCTATATCTGGTTATTTGCCCAGGAGCCATATGTGGAATAAAATGGTCATGCCTAATTTGTCTCCACTATCTTCACCTATTCGTTTATCATTTATACATCAAGTAATTTTCTTCTTTTTTTTAAATAATTATAAAAATTATTTTTTATTTTCTTTTAACTCCTGTTATTTCTTCTCATTAAAAAAAAATTTCATTAATAATTCTGATAAAGCATAACTTATCTAAAGCCGATTGGGCTGTTAACTGTGTCCCATTAGAATACGAGCAAGAAGTTCTGACAACTCAAGGAATTATTTACAAGATCAAAGGCAACTTGTCGCAACCGGTGAACCAACTTGTCTATTCTTACTTATTGGGAGAAAAGGAATTGAACATGTCTAAATGTAAATGTTTAAAATGTTATCTTTTTTTTACAAGTATTTAATATCTACTGTAAGAAAGGAATATATTTAAAAAATATATAATATAGATAACACAATTTATTGAATAATTATATCTATACCACCCTTATGTTTAGAGATCTTTTTTTAGAATCGATTCATTTTTACATGCCTTTTTAAAAATATTTCGTTATATTGCGTTTTGAAGATCTATTATCGATAGATGATATCAAAAATTTAAGCTCAGATCCCACTGGATTTTATACCTATATAATACCATCCAACAAAGCTTTCGATAAATTGGATCCCAATCTTATCAAGGATTTAAATGACAATAAGTCGTGTGCTATGGGTAATAATTCTTTTTTTCTTCTCTTCTCTACATTGAAATTATTAATCATTCAACATCTTCTCTTCCTCCATAATTATGATTACCAGTTCGATAAAACATAAACCTTTATTTGGTTTAAATTTTACAATATTTTTCCCAATTAGATTGTATTTTATAATTTAAAAAATAAATTAATAGAAAGTATCAAACTTCATGTTATAACTGATTGGGTCTGTCCTGGCATACTAGATGCACCAACTAATTTCAAGACCTTAGAAGGCTCTGAACTAATCGTCGGCAAGGATAACACATCTAACATATCTTCAGTCAATGGCTCACCCGTTAATTCAGTTAAAGTTTTTACAAATGGCGTCATTTTATTCGTGGATCATGTTTTAGTATCCAATAAATGTAAAGCTACTTCCATTTCTCGATTTATTGATAATATTAATTGTCGTTTACTTTGGCCTTTACCTGTTATTATAACTCATCTTACTAACAAGATGAATTAAATTTACTTTTTTTTAAACATTAGTAATAAGGAAACCGAGGCTAAACAATTGGTATTTCGCATTTTAACCATAAATTTTTTTTTTTAAAATAAAGTCAAATTATAGATTTATATGTAACCAAATTTATCTACAAAATAAAAAAAAAAGTTTAGCTTTCTGCCTATGATACTTTAGAAGCTATTATTAATTATGTAAAGTGGTATGCCTTTTTCGTCCTTTAACCCCATTTACAAGGTAAAATGGCTAAGCATCAGGGAAGTGGTTAATGTGAAATTGAACATATAAATTTATTGTTTTATTGAACAAAATATTGCAATTTTGACATTCATTAATCACTTTTAAGCCAATGGAATGTAAATTTTTTTATCTTTATAGGCTCATCGTACCTTTCAATTAATCAGCCCCTTTGCTACTATTTTTAAAATTTTATTTCAAATAACACATAAACTATTTATTAATGTTCCTTTTTGTTCAAAAATATTTTTTTATTTGGTGTAGACGTTAATGATTAAAAATTATATGTTTTACAGCTTTAATTAGTCGGAACATTTTAAATGTTTTACCAATAACAACTTTACCACATGATGATATATTATGCATATCGTATAATACATGACTTTTAGTTAAGATATAAACTTCCATATAATTTTATATTATAGCTATGCCTACATACAAGCAAATTTTTGAATTATGAGCCTTCGTGTAATATGCTAAAAGCAAAATACGCTAGAGGGTGATTTTATAATTTTTGGGTAAAAAAAACTGTTTTTTGGCAAAAATATATTAAAAACGAGGAGAATGTAGGTAAAATATTAGATATAAAAATATATCTTTACAACAAAATTAAAGTCTTTATATAAGGGTTTAAAAGTTATTAGCGTTAACTTAGCATGGCAATCGCTTTACTACGGTCTTCCCTATTATAGTTATCACATTTGTAGTTTAGTCAGGGGATAGATCAAATCGCACAAAAATTTTATATTTCCCGACAAAAGTTACTTATTAAGATCTAATTATTTTAAGGCAACTCTTTTTTGTTCTTTAAATATAAACCTTCTTTAATATTTATGGGCTCGGTGAAAGAATAAAATACTAATGGAATATTAAATATTTTGAGGGAAAAAAAACAAAATCCAGATGGAATTATACAAATTTTAACATTGAATTCTTAAGCTAATACCTTAATTTAATGACAAAAGTAAGGAATAAAATTGTAATTTATATTTTGTTTCCCCCCTCCTCGTCAAGCTCTAAAATTAAGTAAACAACTGGCTAATGAAAGTAACGCGATTGATTTCATAAAATTACTAATGAACACTGTAAACTCGACTTTCGAAGATAGTCTAAACGATAGCGCGGTATTGATTCCGGAAAATAAAGCTTTCGACGTTTATATTTTGCCTATATATTTATATATTTTATTGCAATCAATGACAGGGAAGATAAATCAAGAGTGGTGGGCAAAGGAAATAAATGAGGGAGGGAAAAACAGGAATTCATTATAAAACAAATTATAATATACAATATATAATTGTAAATCAGGAATTGAGTTTAGATATCAAAAACAAATTGGTTGCCAATAAAACTTTCGCAAAACTATTTTTGGACAACCATATCATTCCGCTCGACAAAATGAAAGTGGTTAGATTCGATGATTATCAGAATAATGATCCTAAATACATGAATGTTACCAGGGTCAGCTATTTACATATCCTATATTTTATTCTTATCTTATACATATAATTTTATCACTTCTTTCAATCTCTTTATTATTTATACTTTTCTTCTTTCTTTTCTTTTAGTTGTTTTTTTAATTATATTATTATTTTAAAATTAATTCTCAATAAGGCCAATTATCTACCTCATAACTTCTATTGCTTGCGAAAAATCGGTAAAAATGTTGGAGATTTTTGTGGAGGCAAATACTATTCTATTCCAAAGGTAAGAAAATTTTTTCCATAAACTTTACACACAATTAGATAAAAAAAGAAACACATCGCCATATTTATTGATATATTTCTTACGCTATCTTTTTATAGGCCTTATTTACTAACAAGTCCTATTCTTCCTATAAAATACAAATATTCTAAAAATGGTACTTCTATATATAACACTTATAAAATTTATATAATAGTCAGCTGGTATTAATGATGTTTGTTATTCTAAAAAAAGATAAGATATTTTACAGTTTTACAAATAAATAATATTGTAGATGAGTATTAGAAATATAATGTAATTCGTGTGCGTATTATTATTTTTAATATCCATCTTTAAGGCTTTTGTTCCTCTGGGAAAAAGTATCTTGGAAACTTTGAAGGAACATACAGAAGTCAGCACATTCACCGATTTGTTGGAGAACTCTAACTTAACTCTTTCAGATGATAAATATTATACTTTATGGGTCCCAGTCAACGAAATAATGAAGCTTTATCTGATGCCCAACAACATATCTAAAGGCGACATTTCGAATCTGACCATCGATAATTTACCGGTCCAAGAGTTCATTAAGAGACAAATATATCCTGGTTAATAAATTCCAATTCCTTTTTATGTTAGTTTATGAAAACTTGAAAGAAAAAAAATTAAGGTATCGGAAAAATAAAAAGCAAAGTTTGGTACCAAAACATGAAATTATCGAAAGCGGGTAAAATTTAGAAAACGGAAATAAAGTCTAGAACATTCAGAACCGCGTTAAATTTAAGAACCGGAACTAAAACCACGATTTTTTTTTAATTTTGCCAACGGAAGCAAAACCATTTTTTTAATTATTCTGAATAGTAAGCGAAACCATCATCGATACGGGTTCTTAAGTGAAATTCTTATATAATCAAATGAAATATTATTTATACGAATTTTTTTTTAAAGGAAGGAGCAATGATTATTGTTGTTCATCTCCCGAAAACGAATTTTACCTCAATCACCAGCTTTCTTACCCTTACAACGCCGATGGTTTGACTATTTATGCCCCAACCGACCGATCTAAAACCGCCCCTTTGAATGTCAAAATCGTGAAATGTGACATCCTTGGGGACAATTTTTTGATACATTTTGTGGACAAAGCCTTCAACGATACCATAATGAAATTGGAACCCCCCTTCCCCATTATGCAACCTAAAGTCCCTCTATGGGTTCAAATGAATCTAAATTAGTTGTGTTTTTTTTTATTTACAATTTTTTTATTTCCATATATTTATAATATTTGTATCTTATATATTTTCATTGTAATTATATTTTTTGTAAAAAAATATTATATTTTGAACCATGTTTCTTTCTTTCTTTCTTTCTTTCTTTCTTTCTTTCTTTCTTTCTTTCTTACTTTCTTTCTTTCTTTCTTTCTTTCTTTCTTTCTTTCTTTCTTTCTTTCTTTCTTTCTTTCTTTCTTTCTTTCTTTCTTTCTTTCTTTCTTTCTTTCTTTCTTTCTTTCTTTCTTTCTTTCTTTCTTTCTTTCTTTCTTTCTTTCTTTCTTTCTTTCTTTCTTTCTTTCTTTCTTTCTTTCTCTTCTTTCTAATCTAGTCACATCATCATAAAAGAACCTTTACAATTAATATGAATAGTTTTAAAATTTAATTTTATACTTTTCTTTTCAAATATATTAACTAACCCTCCGGTTCAATGTATATATTTTGTAAATTTTATTGTAAAATTATACACAATTTATTAATCTTTATTAATTATTTGTAATCATAAAATTTTATCAAAAAAATTTGCTTTTATAAATTTAAAACTATTTAATTATGAAAATAATATAATATCATTTCTATCAAAGCGACATTATTATAATCAAAGTTGGATAGAAAAAAGTGAATTTTCAAACTTCATATATAATTCTCTAAGTAATGATCATCACATTGAGATTGAAACCTTTAAATTATTGACCCATCCTTCCCCTTCTACAAAAATATTTTTAAAGTTTTTTAATTCCTGTTTTACAAACGATAGTCCCTCACAAACATAGCCATAAAATCCAAATTTGCGATCGCAAAATTGTTGCGAGTTAAAAAGAAAAAATTTTATTTCATTACGTAATACAAACTTGAAAATATGCAGTGGCAGACAGGAGGTGTGTATCACATAGAAAAATATGATAGGAAAAAAAATATATTTTGCATTATACACGGGAAATTTTTGGAATTCATCTTTTTATTGTATTTTTTTAAATATATATAATTTTATTTAATAAAACTATTATTTTGGTATAGGGCCGGTTGTTATATACCAGGTATCTATTTCAGGGGCAGATCCATAATATTTAAGACAAGATTTTATTTAAAGCAAAAAAAATAATGAAAAAGATGGTTAAAAATATTTTAGTCACACCTCTCATCACAATTTTTCATAATTTGTGAATATACACAGTTCCAATCTCAAGCAGCACCAAAGTTCCTCAATCATCTTCTTGGGTAGATAAATCTATCCAACCATTTTCAAAGACCCTATCCTTTTAATTTCAACAATTATTAATTTCAATAAATAACGCATTTCATCCTTCGAGCAATTTATTTGCTTTTCTGTTCCGCCAGTAATTATATTTTATGAACGAAAATGACCCAAATAAATTTTAAAACTTTGAAAATTTTGACTCGCCTAAAAAAGGTTTACAATTGTATTTGGATCTTCATTTTGCTAATCTTTATTTAGTAAATATTTTCAATTTCCTAAAAAAAACTATCTTTTTTTAAATTAAAGGAGAAAAAGGTTGAAATATCTAGGAATAAATAGGATATAAAATATTTAGGGAATAATTTTTTTGAAAAGGTGGGGAGGGGGAGGGGGTGGTTGTAAAATTGTCTATATGAACTCTTCTACATGCCACAATCCCTAATGGCCATTTATAGGAAAAATACCATATCTATTCATTCAAGCGCTAGGATAGTTTAATTTTTACTCCCTTTTATTTGATGATCCGATAATTTTCGTTGTTTTAAATATTTAGGTGAAATATATATTTAGTTAAGCTATTCCCCAATTAAATTATTAGTAACATATTTTTTTTTAAGACATCGATTTCATAATTTCACAAATAAAATTTTTTTACAGCTATTTATTATGCATTTTATTAATATGTTAAAAAAAACATACAACTATTTAATAAAATATAATTTCGTAAATAATATAAATATAATTATTAAACGATTACGAATTAGAAAAAAATAATAATAACATAAAGTCAATATTGAAAATAAATTATGTAAAATACAAAATAAACCAGCACATTTATCCAAAACCCCCTCTCATCATCAGGAGAGATTGAATTGATAAAACAAACATAGCCTTAAAAATGGCTATTTCGTTCCTCTGCTTTTAAGTAAAAATATTTGAGAGGCTCCGCAGAAATTTTTCGATTAGGCGGCCAACGTCTTTAAAAAACTTTCTAGCCAAATAACCATATGTTGTTAAAGTGGAGCAAATGATTGGCACGATTATGTAATTAGAAGAATCAGCGCTGTATTTGGCAATCTTAAAAATTTTAACATGCCTGAAGGTGGCTAGCAATGAACGCACATATTGAAATCGACAATTGATGATTGGAAGGAAGTATGTTGATGCCAGGCTTTATCAAACTTGATTTTAAGAAGTCACTATGACTCTTATTTTGAACTTACTAGATGCACCCTCTCTAAAAATAGTGGGCTCGATCGTAAGGAGTAAAGGATTTAAGGATGTTAAAAAATTCCTAATTAAAAAAAGGCCTTGTGAGACGAGAGACAGGGAAGAATGCATTTTAAATTTTCTAAAATAGTGTCCATATCGCTAAGAAAAGAATTTACTGAATCCTCACCTATGGGAAAAGGGGATATGCTAAAAACCAAAAACGTTTAATGGAATTGTATATTTCGAAATATTTGGTTTTGTTATTAATAAGTTCAAAACTGTCAGAACCTTAATAATATAAACAGCCTTTTTTACCTCAGAATCGCCGGAGATAACCCAATCATCAATGTACCATAAATGTAGTGGCATCGAGCAGTCATTTTTTATTTTAGTTATCAAATCATGGATTCCAAGACAAAATATTTTGGAACCCAGGGTGTCACCCTGTTGCATACCTTCAGAAAAGGATATAGTTTATAAAAACTAGGAAATGGTTTATGAATTGAATTTATTTTTATCGATTTTCTTTTAAGCATTTTATATTTGTAATTTATTATCTAAAAAAATTTAATCTTGATAGGTGGCCATTTTGTACGGCAATAAAAAATCAAAAATAGTGTCGCAAATGAACCTCACAAATATATCAGGTTTACCATATTTTAAAACGTTATACTAGTGATCTACCCAACTTTACCCGCCTTGAAAATTTTAAAAAAATTATAATAGGTCGGGTAAGATTTAAAGGGCCGATCATTTCCTTATCATTTATTAATAATTTTAGAGTGGAAGCTTATAATTTATTCAAAAAATTAGGCAGGGCCCTTTACAGATCTCTCATTTTTTGTAAAGTTTTTAATAGGCCAACGTTAAAACTTTGAATTTCTAATGCTAATATTTTGATTAATACTTTTTGAAAATATATCACAAGCGCTTATTTCTTTGCATTTTAGGATCTGTTTAAAAAAATTACTAAATTTATAAATTAACAAGAAATTAAACAAATTATTTATGATTAAATTGCTAAAATACATGATACCAGATATCCAGGTCAATTTATTTAATCGGATAAAGAAATTCGAAATGTTATCCACTGAAAATTCCTACAAAAAATTTCTTTCCTATATTTGATAATATATACTTATAACATTTAGTTTTTATTATTATATATTTTAGGTTCCACAATTATTGTTCAATTAAAATTAAAGTGAAAATATAATAATTTACTTATTTCTTTGCATTATAAAATCATAGTATATAAATACAAATTATTATATATTTGTACACAATGTCATTGCTTGTATGTAAATATTAAATGATAAGTTATTGAATTAAAAAATATTATTTCTGGTTATATGCTTATTTCTTCTATTAAGAAAAGCTCGTTCATACCCCAGTCTTGCATTCAGGCCTACAGGATATGGTACATCCATTCCAAATATCAGCATTTGAACATGCACCTTGTTTGGCTAAATCATTGCAATTGCTATATTTGTCTACGCAAAATAAAGCTATTTTTTATAAAAAATATCCATTTACGTTCTATTTCTTTTATATAATATTTTTATATTTCATTTTTTTTAAAAATAACATAAGACTTAATTTATTAAGAATAAAGTGTCTATATATATTTTTTTTAATATCGCATAAAATCTTCCTTTTTTTTACCGCAAGCTTCTAATAATTTTCCAGCATATGCATCTTTTGCACACACCATTCCCTTTTTGCAACCATTGCATGATTGAATATTTGATTTATGATAGGGTTCTTGATAAGGACCCGAATTGCCACTGCAAATATTTATAAGAATATCGTAATAATTATTTAGGAAAATGCTAAGATTTCAATAATTAACCTAGGATAATAATTACAAGTAAACATTTTTCCTTGAGGGCACTCACTCATTCCACATCCAACTTCTTTTGTAGTGCCCCACACTACCTAAAATATTATAGACATAATTATCTGAAGTATTTATGAAATTTTTTTTTGAAGAGAGGTAAAGTGAAGAGAAGAGAAGAGAAGAGAAGAGAAGAGAAGAGAAGAGAAGAGAAGAGAAGAGAAGAGAAGAGAAGAGAAGAGAAGAGAAGAGAAGAGAAGAGAAGAGAAGAGAAGAGAAGAGAAGAGAAGAGAAGAGAAGAGAAGAGAAGAGAAGAGAAGAGTGAAAGTTGAAAGGGAAGCCCTATTTTTATCATCTAAGATGAATTAAAATATATTATTAATCCATTGTTTACTTGTGTAAAGTGACCAACTTGTTTAAAATTTGCTGATCCACCATTTACTCCATAGGTAAATTTACTTATTTCATCATACCATGATTTAACAACAGCACTCCAATATTGTATAGTTCTTATCGTTAGATGGACATTTTGGCCTCCTACTGGATATTCTTTAAATTATATTAAATATAAAAATATTAGAGTTAAATGCGAAATATCAATGAAAATCCTAGAATTACAAAAAATATCCTAAAATTATTTAATTGTTTAATTTTCTTTTTAGCTTTGGACTTAGTTTACTTGTTTTACATTTTATTCAAAACTTTTTTACAAGAGTCTTAGAGACAGTAACAAAAGAAATTAATCAATTAGACCTTATAAAACTAATATTTAAATTATTAGTCATTTAAAAAATATAGAGTATACTAATAATATATATATATCATATATTTTTAGTATTAAACTAGAGGTTGATCTATCTGTAGCGAGGTCATGAGCGAACACACATTTCTTGGCCATCTCTTCCGCTCTCACAGCTCCCTCACTATTCCAAATCTAGTGTTAAAAAAATGAAATATTATCCATTTATCTTTGGTTAGTCTAGTTAATTGTTAACCAATTTGAACATGGAATCTGATGGAGGATTGACATTTGCTCTATAGTTATTATGAGCATCAAGTATTTCCTTTATTTCTGTTGCGTTTGGAATTCTTGCATCTAGATATTAAATAATATTGTTTTTTTTATAGTATGATTTTTTTTCACCTCAGCTAGAAAATTTCAAGATTGTTTGCTTTATTTTTAAGGGATCGGCTTATTTTTAACTATTTCATTTTTGTCTTCCTCAAACTTTGCCATTTTAAATATAGAAACACTAAACTATACGTCTTACTGAAGATTTTATCTGGCTAATTTTTTTTAAAAATTTGTGTTTACTAAAAAAATGTATTTGAAAATTTTAAATAAATATTTTCTATTTTCATTCTCAAAGTCAAATAAAATTTTGGTTTCTTGGAATTTCGACTTTCCTATAATTTTAACTTAAAATATCTGAGAAAGTTAAATTCTTGAAAGATTTTTTATGCATTTAATATGGAAAAAATATTTTGCAATATTTAGAATTGTTAGGTAAAATTTTATAAAATTTTATTCTTCCTTAGTAAAAATCTATAAAGATTTTTGTTCAAATAGTTTTTAAAGTTTTATTTTAAACTCTGGTTATGTGTTTGTGACATTTTGTATAAAAATTATATTTCATTTTGTGTAAAAGTTATATTTCAATTTCAATCAAAAATAAAATGTATCTATCGTAGTAATTGAAAACATTTACATAGTAACATTAAAATAAGAAAAATTTAAATATAATATATTAATTTTGATCGCCTTTGACTATCTTAACATCTGGCATACAATTTATACAAATTTTATGATTTAAAAAATAAGTAAAACATAAATAAGTTCATAGATATCATAAAAGCAAATTATTACCAGTAATACATACCATTAGGACTAATGTGTACAAAGTTGTTAAATACATTGCCAATTAAAGGTGGTTTTTAATAATAATTATAATAAAGGGAAAAAATTATATAAAATTTATTTAAATAAAATTATAGCTATTTTATATATAACCCATATTCGCCCATAAAATATATTTGGCACACACAATAATAATATCGATTGTTTGATATTTTTTTCTAATGGTATAGGCTCACTTTATAGCATTTTATTTTAATTTTACCTTGAAATTTCAAAATAATTTCTTGCCAGAAGAAACAAATATTTGAAAAGATGTTTATGTATCAAATTACCTTTCAACCAAGCATTTTATGTTAGTATAATATTTTATAATTATTAATTTTATGAATAACGAAAGATATGATGCTTCGTTTATTGTAAAATTTAGTTTTTATTATATCTTATATTTTTATATAAAAATATATATTCCAAAAAATATATCTCTTTCTTTAATATAGGAGAGATCGAATATTGTCGAACCGATTTTTAAAATGTTGGCTATAACTCCTTTGCTTTTCTAGATATTGGGGAAGTACGATTTATTAATTGATACCACGAATTCGAATCGAATAGTGCATTATTCATATTCGAATCGAATAATTTACAATTCGTATTCGTAAGAATAATAATAACTACTATCTGCAGTGACCCCTACAACGGGGGGGGGGGGGTCCGAAGCAACTGCTTCTATAAATTTCTATGAGGGTACTTATTATTTTTTTTTTAAATTTTTAAAATTTTTTTAAAAAAAATTTTTTTATTTTATTTTTTTAAAAATTTTTATGGTCGATGTTTAGCAAATTAGTTTGTTATCCGATATTTCTTATCATAAAATTATTTTTCCACTTTCAAGATTTGGCGCAAAATTAAAATTTTATCAAAGGGAATAGTAAAAATTTAAATATTAAATCTTATATATAATCATTTATAATTTTTAGATCATTGTCAAAATATGCCCAAAAATAGTAACCAAAAAAAATATAAATGCTTATCTCGCAATCAAGCCTTCTGGGAGAACAGGCAACAAGATGGCAATATGATGAGCCTTATTAAACTTATTGCAGATTCTGAGCCTGTTCTTAAAATGTATATACAAGATAATGAAGAAAGAAGAAGTGAGAAAAAAATTAAGAGATTAAAATCTAAATTATATTCAAATCTGTTATCATATAATAACATAAATATTCTTATTGAAACCATGAAAAATATGGTTATAAAAAAAATTAAAAAGGAGATTGAATTCAACAGGTGCTATTCAATTATAGTTGATGGCACATATGATGTATCGAAATCAGAAGCAATAGCTTTGATAGTGAGATATGTTGAAAATAGCGAGACACCTAAGCCCGTTGAAAGGCTGATAGACATTTATTGTACGGGAAATACAACGGGCCTCGATATTAAAAAGAATATAATATCCAAGCTTGGCTCCATGAATCTACCCCTCGAATTCCTAGTGGGGCAAAGCTATGATGGCGCCTCAAACATGAGTGGAAGAATTAATGGAATACAGGCTTTGATTAGAGCGGAGGCGCCAAAGGCAGCTTTTATTTGGTGCTATTGTCATCGATTAAATTTAATAGTTGTTCAATAATGTCAATCAGTAAAAGAGCTGCGAAATGTCTTGGGAATATTAGACGAAATTTACGTATATTTTAATGGTGTTAAAAGATATGAAGTACTCAAAACATGTCAGAGTGATTTACTGACAAAATCACATAGATTTTTACGCATCAAGAATACCACTCGGTAATATTATCTTAATTGTTTCGATATATAATGTTTATTTTATATTTATAGAAGCTGGCTAACATCATATAAGGCGATTGTAATTTTTTTCCTACTTTATGATGCTTTGAGGGCAGCTTTGGCAAATTTAAAGGATTCTGAAGATCCTGCCACTTCCACTATGGCTAGTGCTATAGTCTATAGAATAGAAAAATTTTATTTTATTTTATCACTATGTGTTTTGGATAAAATATTGTTGATAACAAGCTTGGCTTGTACAAAATTGCAAACCATTTCGAAGGATATAGGGTTTGCAATAAATCAAATTCAATTGGTAAAAGATTGCCTGATTAATATGAGAAGTATAATTTAAATTATTATCTTTTATTATTTTATAATCCTAAAATAGATAATAACACTGAATTTTTGGATGTCTATTCAAAGGCCCAAGATTTTATGAAGAAGAGAAATTTACCTTTTGATTTTGAAAGTTCAAGACTTCAAACATTTTAATCCAAAAAGGAGATATATATATATATACTTTCATCATTAAATATAATATTTTATTTTAGCTTTAAAATCAGTGTGTTTTATGCTGCACTTGATTTAATTATTATGCAGTTTAGTGAAAGATTTAACGATGAATCGATAAAATTTTTGAGTCAAACATCATTTTTTACCCCAAAGGGAATGGCGGAAAAGGCAATTGTTAAAGATGATATCAAGGATATCTGTGAATTTTATCAATTAAATACAAGTCAAGTTTTTGAGGAAATGTTGATGTTTAGAAATATTTATAAAATGGCTAAAACGGGGGACGTAATTATTACTCGTGACCTAGAGGTTAAAGAAGATTTGTCAGATTCTGAGAATTGTAAATTTATTTAATTAAAATATTTTTACTAATACATTATTTAGCTTCTTCTGATGATGATAATAATTCTGAGATGAATGATTCAGACTGGAGAAACTATTCATTTATTTTACCTTATCATCTGCTTATAAATTTTTCTGCTTTCCCAAATTTAACAATTTATATAAATATTTATTAACTATTCCTACTACATCATGTACTGCCGAAAGGGTCATGAGTAAAATTAAACTAATTAAAACAAGACTTCGTAGTGTCATGAAAGATCCATTTCTTAATAATTTAACCATTTTATCAATGCAAAATAATTTATTTAAACAATTAAATATTGATAAAATTATAAATTCTTTTGCTTTCTCTTCCCCTAATTTATCTAAATTATTAATTTAAAAATAATATTTTTAAAGCATATATTTTTTACATTATATTTATATTATAATAAATATTGATGCAATAAAAATTATTTTTGAAATTTATTGGTGTCAAAAAATAATTTACAATGGGGGGGGGGGGGGTACTTTAGGGGGGTATTCTGCTTCTATCCCTCAAAAAGTGTAGGGGTCACTGACTATCTGTATTCGATTCGAATGATTGAAATTAATTTTCTTAATAAAATACATCATACTCAAATATATTGACAATTTTTTTTATTGCAAATTTGATAACGGAAAAAATTATTATAATAATTTGATAATAAAAAATATGTAATCTATAATCTGATGATAAAAAATACAGCCTTTTCTCCGTCTTTATTGATTTGATATTGATCATATAATCGCTCTTTTTGTGAGGAAATGTCAATTTCAACATAAAGCATAACTATTTCATCAGAAGCATTCTCCTCTAACATATTTAGGTTACTAACAATCATTTATTGTAGAGATGTATTATATTTTTATATACCTTTGGTTTGTGTAATTTTTTAATATAATTTATTATGAGATTCAAAAAATACGGCAAATAAAAATTTAAATATTGCTTTAATTTTCACTGCAGAGATTTTTTAAATTTGTGCTACTTTTTTTATAAATACCTCACCTGTCATATTGGAAATTATCAAATAGAAATGACAAATTTTAGATAATTAAAAGCAATTTATTAAATATTCTGAATAATTCGTTTTATTCGAATCGAATAAATGATTAATCATATTCGGATAAAACAGATAATTTATTATTCGTATTCGTAATTATTCTACACCATATAGTATATTATTTTTTTTGTAATAAGTTGGGTATTAGAGACTAGAAATAAAATAGAAATAAAATTACACCATAATATAAATTCTAATTCCTTTATTAAACTCTATTAATTATTAATTAAACAATTATAAATAACATAAAAGAAAAAAGTGAAAAAAAATAAAAAGTTAATAACTCCAATTGTTAAACACTTAAATTATAAAATCTCATTATCACACTTTTTCATCTCATTTGCATAGTCTACTAAGACTTAAATAATAAAGTAATAATTTGTTTGAATATTATCACAATTTAAATAATAATAACAGAATATTACAACACCCTTCCACTTAAGTTAGACCCACCATTCTGCTAATGAACAACTTTCTTTCGATTTCGACTTTACTGATCTTGTATCTCCAAATCTATTCTTCTTAATCTTTAAACGACGGCTGTCTCTTGCTTAGTATTCTTAGTTTCTAACGACCGGTTGTATCCGATTATAGCTTGAAATTCTTGAATTCTATCTTCTGTCGCTTGTCAACCCCTGGTAAACGATTAGCTCTTTATCTTTGTAATCGACTGATGAACCCGATTAACGCCTTCCTTTTTAAGATTCACTCTGGCTATTTACCGATTATCGATTGATACTATTCTTTCTTTACCATCTTTGTCTTTCTAAAGACCGTTTTAAATTCCTTTGATAAATTATCCTACTCTTGGCTTGTTTCTAACGGTCTCTTGTAACTAATGATTAGCTTTATATTTAACGACTGTTTCCATCTTGCCTCTATGATCGTAGACCTTCGTTTCTTAGACTAAAGTTTTAGTAAAAAATTAGCTATATTGGTCAGCGATTAACGATTGCAGCATGAATGTCTTGACCATTTGTTTTATCTAGTCGCTTGTTTTTAACTTTCTCTTATTATTGATTAGTTCTTAGCATCTAATTCTTGTAACCATATAGATCTTTTAGGACTTTTGGATTTTCTACGACAGTTTCTAGATATCGACTTTGTCTTTATTTTCACTTGATCTTTGTCTCAAAGTCTAAGATCGCTTCTAATCTACTTCTACCTAAAATAATCTATTTAACTCTTTATGACTTCTGAAATATTTTATCACTTTTTCTTACATTTATTCTTAAATTTAATTTACATAGTCTAAATACACCAAATTTATCCTAATGTCTACAGTTATCTCCTT